CAATGACACCTAAGATTCAGTCTTCTTAAAGTGAAAACAATAGATATAAGTAGCATAAACACAGCTGTTTATTAACGCTGAAAAAATACATAGAATGCTCTGTAGAACCAGGGAAGCTGATTACTTGTCCATGTCATGTTGCATGCTGTTAATATTGAGTGTGTGCACAAACCTTTAATGCCAGACTGTGCAGATCTCGCTGAGGTCAGGAACAAAGCCAAAGCTGTAAATATAAGAATGTGAAAAAGAGTTTGGGAAATTCTCCTACGAGGATGCTTTTGAATCTCTCCAGAGAACCAGAGAACATTTTCTATAGCCTCCAGGCATTGGGATGTGGTACAAGGGCATTCCTTCATCTCCAGGTCAATCCAGAGCAGCCAAGGCTGCTAAGCCCATCCCTTTTCTTCAAACATACATGGGAGGAAACTCCCCCTTCTGCCACTGGACTATACAAGAGAGGGAAGGGAAGGGAAAGAGAAGAAAGAAAAAACCCACTGTCTTTTGTTCAGCATTTTAGAGAGAGAAAAGGAATTAATTAACTGCTCTCCTATCTGACATCCAAATGGAAAAGGCGAGAGACCAGGCTGTTTCTCACCGCATCAGACGTAGGAGGAAGCAGGATAGGAAGAAGGCAGGAAGCAGCCAACAAAAGGTAAGAAGAGATGCTAAACTTCCCCGTGTCCTAGTGCTGTTGCATTTGAATCCAAATTCTTAGAAACCTACAACCCAACTGTGGAAAAAGGACCTTGGGAAAGCTGGGGGGAGGGAAGAATGGCTTTCTCGGCAGAATTACACATTTTGCTTTGTTTTGTATATGCATGCTTCATCCAAAGTGTTACACAATGTGAAGCTTTATATAGTTATACAAGAACACACACTCCCCACGCATCCAGGGAAAAAAGCCCAACCACACCAAAATCTGTTCAAATCAAAAAACTAACAGGAGCCTAATGCAGAGTGTTGATTAGGTACCACAACAACAAAATATGCATTAGAAAATATTCCTTGCTTTATTGTGAGAGAACAGTTTTCTCAAGCCAATTCTGTGTAACTCCATGCCCCAAATTCACTAAAATTTCCAGATAGCAATGGCTGCTGCAGGATTCCTTTGGCAAATGCTGTATCTCACGACTTCCCTCTTTCTCAATACGCTGTGATTTCCTGTGGAATGGAGAAATCATCTATAGTACAAAGAGATGCAGTACTAACACTTTTAGAAGTAAATAATTTTATAGCAACATATAGTATAGAGAGAAATATATAATTCCCAAGCAGAGAGAGATTAGAAAAAGACTCTGATAAACAAATGCTATTGAAGCTTATATTTTTTTAGTCAGTGTGAAAAATATCGGGTAACTGTTTGCTGTTCCTAGAAAGAATGGAATTCTGTTGCCAAGAGCTGTAGTTTCTTGTAGGAATTATAATACTATATTGAAGATTTATCTTTCTGACAAAGGCATAAAGTTATCCAAACTAGGGCAGAAAAAACAGAATAGATTTTTCCCAATGAAACAGACCTACATTATTTTTGTTAACTTTTACTATGGCAGAAGTTTTGATCTTCAAAACCTGAACTCATGCTCTTGTTGATCTTTATAATGATTAAGTCTTGCAATGAACAAGGTGAACTGTTTTACCACAGGCTCTTACACAAGCAAGAAACACACCCTATCATCTTTAAATCAATTACAGTTATAAATATTTGCCTCCAAAAGCACATGACTTTAAATTTTCTTCTTGAGATTTTGGGGTTTTATAATGATGCTTTCCTGACCTTAAAAAAAGGTTTTCCCAAAGCTGTAGGCATCTAACAGATGCATATGATAGGAGAAAGGTGACCTTAGGCTGTTCTGTGCGTAAACAATCAAGGGGAAGGAATCTTGGGGGTCTCTGCTGCAATTATACAGATGCAGTGCCTCTACCTGTCTGCACATCACTCTCCTGATTCCCATGGAAAAACTATTCCTCGTGCTCTGCAGGATTAGGATCTTCTGTGTTCCTTAGAACTACAGCTGATAACGCTATACAGAACTATTATTTTTAAGTCAACTGACATTCAGCAATAAAACTCAGGATATCACAGCTTTTGAAGTTCATTTATTTCCAGGCAGCCAAAGAACATCCTCTGGGTTGAATCCTGGGCCAATTTACAGTTACAGTGTATGCTGCTCCATTAACATTATACCAAGTTATAGAACTTGGGAATCAATAAACCCATTGCCTTGGAAGAATTTGCTCAAAGGCACCCAATGAGTCAGAGGCAGGTACCTTGTTTAGGTCTCAGACTTTGGCTTCCATTTTGTAGCTGCTTGGTCCACCAGATCATATTTACACTACATCACCAAAAATGTTTTTATTTCTGTCCTTCTGAAATTACCGTTTGTTTGGCTTGCTGTTTTGGGGCTTTTTTACTAGGGGAAAAAAAATTAATGAAAAGCTTCTTAACAATTACAGTTGTGATTTATTTTTTTTTTAACTGAGAACCAACAAACTATATTTCTCAGCTGAAGCAAAGATAGAAAGCCCAATCTCTTTGAACAAAATGCACAATAATCCAAAGGCCTACATAGTGTGCACATGCCACAGTTTTTATGTTCAGATAGAGAAAACCTAACAGTCAGTCTGCTTTTACTGACTTTAAAGATCCTACGTGTAGTCAGTGAGAAGTGAAAGACTATAAAATAAAACTTTCCTTCAAGGAACTTGCCACCAGTCCTTAGTCCTGCAAAAGATCTGCAAAAATTGAGGATATTTTGCTTGAGTAAACAGAATTTTAATTGAGCCTAAACAAGTGAATAGCAGGCATACTATTTCCATAAGTATGCACGATTCAAAGAAAAACAAGATTTAAAAATCTAGAGCCATAAACCAACTTTAATTTTAAAAGTTTTAGGGTCTCAAAAAAGGTAATGTGTATGTGACAAGCTTTTTTCACTACAAGTGAATTCTTTAAAATAAATAAATTGCCACTGACAAATCATTATTTATAAGAACTGTTTCCAGTAAGGCAGAAGTTATCTAGCATGGCGCTAAAGAACATACTTAATTTTAAGTATGCTTATAGTTTTATTAAAACAAATGGCTTTTTCCATGCTTAAGGCCAAGCATATGCTCAAGTACTATGCTGAGACAAAAGCTTACAAGTTTGTTGTTTAGAATGCAAAGTGAGGGTTTTTATCCCAAACCACATTTTCTTGCATGTAATCAGCACTGATTATGCTGCCATAGTTTCCAATTCATTCCATGCACTCAGCATTTATTAGGGCACAGATGGTGCTCTCTTGCTTTGGCTTCTAGAGAAGATGCCTAAATATTAAAACAAACTTGGCTATCTGTCTCTTATCCTCTATTGCCACAATAAAAGTAACAGTAACCTTTGATCTAATCTGGAAGCCTTTTCTAATTTACACACAAAATTTGGCAATGGGATTATCAAATACAGTCAGCCCACTTGAAACTGGAGAACCTGATATGCATAATCCAGCACACTGGTCACAAGTGATCAAGAACAGGAACAAGCAATCCACAAAATAATCAAAAGAAGAAAAATCAAAAACAATTTTGCTAGTAACAAGCCACGCAATCCTGACTGTACTCAATGGCTCTGTGTGCATTTCTGGAACTGTAAGGATTATTCAACAGTTTAACCAGCAATTAGCAAACGAACAGGCTGATTTGAAAAGGCAAATAAAGAGTATTAGCATGACAGGATTCCTCATAACAGCGAGCATGGTCTTTTCCAACAAGTTTGCACTGTACTGAGAACTTGCAGTGTTTTCTCCTACGGGCAGGACAGGACATTTATTTCCCAAATTCTGAAAATTATTTACCCATTTCTGAGCCAAGCATAAAGCAACCTCCACAGAGACCCAACAGAAAAACAAGCTGTCATGATATTCCATTAGAAATGTCTTAAGGTAAGATAATGTCAGATTTGTCCAGCAGATCCTGACAAAATGTTCTTGAATGTGCAGCCAACTGGGACGCAGGTGCACATGACGGTCAGCGGGTCTTAATCACCCATCTTCACAGACTTTCAGTCTCACAAAAAGCACACTGACACTGGAAAAATCACACATAATGTTCATCAAAATACGTATGACCAAACTCAAATTGCGGGGGGGGGAGAAGTAGTAGAGGGCTTGGAGAAAGGTTAATCAGACTGCTCAAAAATGATGTTCCCAAGTGAGAACCATTTCACTATCTCGCTGGTAACATGAGGATAGCTGCCAGTGCATGCTGCCAGAATCTAGAGCAAGAAACGTGCATTTTGAGCAGTTGTCTTGACTTCAGAACAGCTCAACAATTGTATGCACATATTGATAAAGAAATCACTTCTGAACAAACAGCAAATTCAAAAAACTAGTTTCAGAAGTAAAATGTCAGAAAGCCAAAGATTTGTCTAAATAAGATTACGTAACACCCACCAAATCAGTTAGTTCCTAACTTTGTTTTAAAGCTAAGCAATGGCTAGTAATTTTGAAGTAATGATCCTAGATATCTGCACTCCAGTAAACTTAATAAATGAAATAAATCTAAATTAGCATATGTTACTAAATCAAAATGACATTAAAATAATAATAAAAGTAAATAAAAATTCTGTCAATATGAACAACCCAGAAACAAACCACCGTAAAACATACATAAACCAAAAAATAATCAGGTATGCATTGAGAAGAGACTGTTCTGCAGCTAGTCAAAACTACATTTTATTCCTGTTGAGGCAATGGAGTCTCCTACATCCCAGCCTCTCCCAAGGTAGCCTCTTCTGGTGTCTCCCAGTCTCCTGAAACTCAGCCCTGCTCACACCCCGATCTCTGCAATACTTTCTGGGAATTGGGCTGGCTTCCAGGAAATTCAGACTGTCCCCTTTTCTTGGTATCATGCTCCATATCTACACAACGCACAACTTGGAAATTACTGGTACATTCAATACTTTAAAAATTGTGGCTTGAGAACAAGCTTCAAAATATCAGCAATATCAACAATCCTGGCCTTACCTGCTGGATCTTGTACTATCATTTCCTTACGCTTCACCATCAGCTTGTCTTTAACCCATGGGAACTCCTGTAAGGAATCCAAGAACGTATCAAAAGCTTTGGGTCCTCTGGTGGGGAGAATATCAAGGAGCATCATGGTTTTCCTCTGACTGGTGGTTTGAGATTTTATTTCTTGAACATGACTGTCTGTGAGAACACCTTCTTGGTAGAGATACTGAATAACAACTCCATCCACCAGCACCTCTGTGCAGAGCTCCAGACGCAGGGAGCGTAAAAGCTGCTTGTCTCTGGCATCCATCTGACAACCTAGAGTGTGAGAAAAGGAGTAGGGAAATGTGTGAAGATTAAACCATTTCAACCTTTAACATCCAGAAGTGATGCTTGATACCTGGCAACCTTTAGAAAGAATGACAAACTAGGAGCCACCAACCTGGGAAAACTATTAATGATCCCCACCATCTTCCTCCCACTCAGATTTCACTGTCTCACGAGCTAAAATGTAGCCATTTCTGAGAAATATTAGACAGGAAGAGAACCTTTGGCATTGTGAAGACCAGTCCTTTGCTGGAATAAAAACCATGCCAAATAATCCTGCTCACTAACTGGCCAAGGTCCATACTAAAGACAGCTAGGGCATTTGCCACTCCTTAAGAGACTCTATCCCCCAAAAGTCAGAGAGATGTCACACCTGACCTCTGCTACTGATGCCTCTGATGCTATAGCAGCAGTGAAAAAACAGTAGCAGGAGTGGTAGATGCACCACAGCCAGACAGCAGCAGCAGGGACAGTCAGCAGGTAGCTCTGGCCTATGCCAAGCATTTTAATTTCAGGAGGCATAGAAATGTACCTTATGCACCAGGTCATTCTCCCCCTTGACTCATACTGGAAGGCTGCTCTGGAACTCAACTGATCTGATGATGAGAAACTTTCTTCGAATTTCCATCTCAAATTCATCTACCTACTATTTATAGGCATTTGTTCTGCCAAAACTGCTCTTTAGCTGAAGTAACTCTTCTCCCTCGCTGGTATATACCCTTCTAATGTGTTCACAGGGAGCAATCGGATGCTCTCTGCCAGCTTCCATTTCACTTGACTAACACTCTGACTAAACAAAAGCTGGAAAAGATGCACTTTATAGCCACTCTACAGAAGAGGAATCAAGGTCCGGAGAGACCAAGCAACTCATCCAAGATCATACCGGCAGTCTGTGCCAGACCTATGAACTGAATCAAGATGTCTAGCCTAGTCCTTAATGACAAACATATCCCTAGGCCCATTAATGGCACTTGAAAAGGAAAATGACAGAGTAATACAATTAAATACTTTCTCATGACTAAATAATAAAGTCAAAAAACTTCAGCAGGTGTTGAGTGTGATTACCAAGAGAGTTTCAGATAATTAAACTAGATGCTGCTGTTTGAACAGCTAGACCTTGCAGAAAATGTACTTCATTTAGCTTGAGGATACAAAGAGAGGCAGAGATTTTCAAAGCTTTTGTAAGAAACCTGCTAAAGTTTTTATATTGTGAGAGATGCTTACTGACTCTCAGGGCCCCATCCAAGGTTGTTTGGTTGGCCTGGGTGTTAAAATCTAGGGCAGGCGACCAACAGAACATACAGGCACATAAACGACACCTTGGACAGAATGCAAGAGCCTAGGATCCCTAGAGAGACTGGAAAATCCTGGTTGAGACACCTTCTGCTAAAGCTACTTTCTGAAAACACTTCCCCTAAGTGCTGAAAGCATTGATGGGCAGCACCTTCCCAGGAGGACTTCATCTTACCTGGGCTACGCAGTACGTTTCTTGTATAATGAAGTGAATTTTGAGGTGCCTACCTCTGTCTCGAGGTCACTGGGGAATCAAACAACAGCTGTCCTGACACACGTCCTTAAAAAATTCTAGTCTGCTAAGCATAGCTCAAACATCAAACTTCATCATGGAGTGAGATGATAGTTGCAAGCAAGAAGATGAAAAAAGAACAGGCAAGAAAGAGAATGGGATTTCTTAATTTGATGTTATGACGCTCATTTTGGACAGGTGATACTGAAGATTCTGGTCTCTAACACACACTACCTTTATACTACTGGGATCAATCACTGGTCTAAAGCAAAACCAAGCAAAATTCAGGCAGCTGATCCCTGCCATTTCTCTCTTCCAGGATCCCCTGACCCTCTCTGGTCTCATGAAGCACTTACAGAGTTCAAGACAGGCACCCAGCAGCAGCTCTAAGGGCATTATCTAGATCAACCCAGGAAAACTGTTTCAGATGCTATGAAGCTCTTGCACTTCACATTCTGCACTGGCCGCCAAGAGTCACCATCCAGGAATCTTCTCACCCATGACAGATGAGGAACATCAACTTCTCCAGTCACTGTGTAGTACTTGATAGTTCCCCTTCTTTGTAACCACAGTGGTCAACACTTCTCAAAAATAAGGTCCTTTCAAACCATCTCATTTGCAACTTTGTGCACTGACAAATGCCTCTCAAGCCATGAATCTTAAGGGGGATATTCTGCTGGAAAAGGCCTTTGGCACACTGACTGAAAGTGAGCAAGTCCGGGGAGCGAGCCCCGGCCGGGAGCGGCCGCCGCTGCGCGGGGCCGAGGCGCTGCCGGGGCGCGGGGTGTCCCCGCGAAAGGGCAGGCTCCCTTCCGGGCGTTTGGAGGACCGCTGCGCTCTCAGCACCCGGGGTGGGGTATTTTGAGCGAGTGGAGGAGTTGTATTTACAATTAAATGAGGAATGACAAAACCTGAATTTCTGTGACATCAGAAGAAGCTGATTTCATTACTCTCTGGGGATCCTGGTCCTATTCACAAGTATACGCTAAGACAGGCTTCATCCAGGTGCTAGTGTCATGGTATCAAACACACAGCGATATTATATCGAATACTGTGTATGTGTAGCTTCATCACTTTCCTGAGAACAGCCTAAAAAGCGAAGAAACTTCCATGGGTTAAAACCATTTAGTAAAGTAAGATCCAGCCTGTGTCTACTACAGTGCTGTGCACATTCTCGTAGTTCTGTTCGTCTATTATTGAATACAAAAACTCTCACGTAATTTTATATGAATATTTGAAACCGAAGTACAGTAGAAGAGAGAAAACTGCGATCCACAGCTATAAAAATGAGGCAATGACATTTCCTATCACATATCGTAGAAGAACTCGTTTTTCCGTCTTTACGTAGGTATCCTCCGGTGTCACACAGGCTTGAGCAGTGTCAGCCCTTTTCTTTCATGTCTGGACTGCGATAGTGATGAAACAAAAAAAAAAAGATACAGCAGAGCTGGAACGTGCTACCTTGGAGCTGCAGGCAGCCACAGTGACCTGGCTGCGGTCTGCTGGGCTTGCTGATGCCCACCCTCTGGAAAAGCAGGAGAGGTGGTTGCTACAGCTGCTGCTAGAAACGTTGCCACTGTGTGAATCCCATTTGTACAGTCAGTTTAGAGTAATTGTACGGATTTAAGGGTATTGGGAAGATTGAAGGATATTTGGAAGTTAGTTATGGAAACCTTTACATGCCTTTCCTAGATATTGTCCATGGAAAATGGAAAAATGTAACTGAAAGTATTATTGGTAGAGCTCATGTGCTGCGTATGCTTACATGGTATTTATCTACAAGATTTTGCATAATGATACACAGTCACATTCAAAAAGTTTAGATCTTTCTCCTTTGATTTTCCTGTGGCTGAGAGCAAAGTTGAGAATTTATATGGACACAGAATGTAAAACAGTCTTAAAAGGAAAGTTTGTAGGCTGGACTTAAATGTTTAAAAAATTATACATTTATTATGTGGCCAGCTTCTTCAGAGATGCTACCTATTTAGCAATTTTAAAGCAATATTTTGGTTTAATTGACATAATGTTTTTATCTAGGATTATTTCCAGAGAATAAATTTGATAAAAGGAGTTTTAATTGCTTTTAAATAATTGATAAATAATATCTTATTCCAATACATCTATTAAACCAAAGTAAATGTTTTTGGTCTCAGGCACACGTGTTAGTCTTCTAGGAACACAGACATAAAAAATTTAAATACTCCTGTGGGTTGTTTCAGAGTGATGCTTTAACATATTTACTATGACCTTGACAACACTGGAAACCACACAAGTAAGTCATCATCAGTGACTTTAAGACAAGAAGTATGCTGCTGTGTAGCCAAAGTACAGCTGAGGTGGTTTTAAATTTTCATGTCATGGATAGTCTGTAATACTGGTTCTGAGAAAATACATTTGTAAACAACATAAACCAGCACCAGGGAGCAGAGAACATCACAAACCATCTATATGATCATTCCTCAGCACAGCTCTGTACGGGTACTGAAAGTTTCCTTTCTTAGCTTCTTGTATTTCCAATTGCCAGCTTTTTTTTTTTTTTTTTTTTTTTTTCTAAGGAACTGTATTATAATCTGGAATTGAAGTGACCAAACTTGGGAGACTAAAATATCACATAATTGTAATCCTGACAGCTGCATTTAATGGTAGATTACGTGCCTACATTTTTGAATCAAAAATGAAGACAAGCCATTACATTTACTGTATCTTTTTGCCAGATGAGGCAATTAGCATTATTTATTTTATACTGTCCAAGAATATCTTACAAAGTTAGCAAAACATGGATATACACGGAGCAACTCCAGTTCCTGCTCAAGTAAATGGTAGCAGTCATACAGCCAGCATTTAGTCATGTCCTTGCTTACAGTCTAAACAGAGTTGCAAAGAAGGAAAGCAGTGAAAGGAAACAGATAAGCTTAGGAAGGAAGAGGGTGACAGCAGAAGTCCAAATCTGGTTAAAGGGAAAATCTGATGTTTCCTTTTCCTTCCACTAGTTTGTAACTAGAGCTGCAAATTAACTAGTGGAAACTGTAATGCGCTCCTGGTGTTTCAGGTTCATCTTTAGCCATGCACCCCAGGTGTTGATTTACAGAATAAGGATGAGTTACAGAATAAGGATGTGCACAGGGAAGTCCAAGGAGAGAATCCCTTAGAACTTTTGGGTTCAGACCTGACTAAAGTTCTTCCAGTTCAGTTCTGGTCTGAGTTCAACAAAACTTCAGAAGGGTGGTTCAGTTCTATTCCAGTTTTAGGGACAAACAAATATATATGTACACACACATATGTATATTTGAGCCAGTTTGGGTTCAGCTCAGCTCCCCACTGACTCGACTCAAATCTGAAAACTAACCATCTAGATTAAAGAAGTATTTCCTAGGCTTTGTAGATGAATGGACCACAGTCAATCCTGCACATCGGTATCATCAGACTTTTAGACTTAAAACTTTGTTCTCTCTCGTTCTGTGGATTGGGGAATCACCGATGGTCATCAGGCCACACTTCTGAGAACTGCTGAATTCGGGGTCGCAAAGTCCAAACCTGTGGGAACCAAGCTAAGCAGCATCTCTTCTGACAATGCTTTTCTCTTTAAGTGTCAGAATACCAGATTTTTTAATTTATCATACCCTTTTTTTAAAGCTCACTTAAAAGTCTCAAGTCTTTTTAGAAACTGTACAAGTATAATGAGATTTTTTTTAGGAAAAAAGCTTTTGAGAGGACCCTTTATGCTAGTCAGAGTCAAGCTGTATCCTAGCATGTACATATTTGCTTTGTTTTCTACAGACTAATTTGTTTCTGCTGATAACAAGAGCCAAAATGTCTTTTTAAAACTGGTGCAAGCAGATTTAATCTATTAGGACTAGGCTGTTTTCAATTGTCTGTAGGACAGCATTCCAACTTTAAGGACAAAAGAAAAGAAATATGAGCCTCTAGATTTGTTTATTAAAAACATCTAATTGGTTAAATCTCTCACAAAACCTCTGAAATGAAGATGGAAAAAAATGCAATATATATGGTTGCCTGTGATTTTTAGAAAGAAGAGCACAGAAAACATTTCTGTATTTGATGTATTTCAAAAACACTGTTAAAATGTGAGTCAAGGTGGCCCAAACTCCATGGCCTGAATACCAGATTAGGTTCTTGCAAGCCATTGCCATCCACTGCCATCCCAGGCAACAATCCCTTCCTTTCCTCCCTTTCCCTCTTCACTCTTTTCCCTGTTGCATTTCCCTTTGCAAGCATGGCCCTGCCTAATGCCAACATGCAGGTCTCCTGCTCC